CCCTTCCTTTCATCCAAAAAAAACCAAAAAGCCCTCTTTTGCATTTTTGTTTCTCTTTCTTTTTTCTTCAATTTTTGATTTCAGGAGTCTTTTACACTTTTGCTTTTGTTTTTGTTTTTATAATTGATATGCAATAAGCTGCACATATTTAATATATACAATTTGATGAGTTTGGGCATAAGCAAATACCCGTGATATCATCACCACAATCAAGTTAACAGACATACCCATCACCTCCCAAAGTCTCCTTGTGTCTGTGTGTGTATGTGTGTGTTAAGAACTCTTAATACATTTTTAAGCATATAATAACACTATTGCCCACTATAGGCATATCTCTCGAATTTATTCATCTTACATGACTGAAACTTTCTACCAACTGAGCAACAACTTCCCATTCCCCTTCCTCTGAGCTCGGATTTTGAAAGCAGCAAGAGAAACATGACTCATCATGTACAAGGTAGCTCCTATGAGACGATAAGTAGATTTCTCAGCAGAAACCTTACAGGCCAGAAAAAAAAGTGAGATGATATACTCACATATTAAAGGAAAGAACTGCCAACCAAGAATACTTTACCCAGCAAACTGCCCTTCAGAAATGAAGAAATAAACACTCCCATACAAACAAAAGCTGAGGTAGTTCATCACCACTAGACATGCCTTAAAGAAATGCTAAAAAGAGTTCTTTAAGTTGAAATGTTAATGTGGTGTGTCACATTTATTGATTTGTGTATGTTGAACCATCCTGCATCACAGGGATAAATCCTACTTGATCATAGTGTGTGCTGATCCTTTTAATGTGCTGTTAATTTGGCTGGCTGGTATTTTGTCAAAGATTTTTGCATCTATGTTCATTAAGAATATTGGCCTATAATTTTCTTTTCTTGTAGTGTCCTTCAAGAAAAGGCTTTGATCGGAGAGTAATGCTGGGCCTTGTAAAATGAGTTTGAAAGTGTTCTTGCCTCTTCAACTTTTTGGAAGAGTTTGATAAGGACTGGCGTTACTTCTTCTTTAAATGTTTGATAAAATTTACCCATAAAACCATCGGGTCCTGGGCTTTTCAGTGTTGGGAGGTTTTTTATTGCTGTTTAGATCTCCTTACTCATTACTGGTGTATTGAAGTTTTGTATTTCTTCATGATTCATTCTTGGTAGGTTTTATGTCTCTAGGACTTGATCCATTTCTTCTAGATTATTTGTTGGCATATAATTGTTCATTGTAGTCTTTTATATTTTTTGTATTTCTGTGATATCAGTTGTAATGCCTCCTCTTTAATTTATAATTTTATTTATTTCAGTCCTCTCTTTTTTTTCTTGGTTAGTCTATCTAAACAGCCCCCAATTCATATAGAACCACAAAAAAAAAACCACCAAATAGTCAAAGCAATCTTGAGAAAAAAAGGACAAAGATGGAGGCATCACTCTTCCTGGTTCCAAACTACATTACAAAACGATAGTAATCAAAACAGCGTGGTACTGGCATAAAAATAGACACACAGACCAATTGAACAGAGCAGAGAGCCCAGAAATAAACCCACATATACATGTCAACTAATCTTTGATATAGGCACCAAGAATACACAATTGGAAAAGGATAGTCTCTTAAAAAAATGGACCTGGGAAAGCTAGATAACCACATGCGAAACAATGAAATTAGATCCTTATTATCTTACACCACACACAAAAATTTACTCAAAATGGATTAAAGACTCAAATGTAAGACCTACAACTCTAAAACTGCTAGAATAAAATATAGAGAAAGAGCTCCTTGACATTGGTTTTAGCAATGATTTTTTGGAACTGACCCAAAGCACAGGAAATATAAGCAAAAATAAACAAATGGGACTACATCAAACTAAAAAGCTTCTGTATAGGAAAGGAAACAATCAACAAAATGAAAAAAACAACCTATGGAATGGGAGATAATATTTACAAACCATATATCTGATAAAGGGTTAATTCAAAATACATAAGGAACTTATACAACGCAATAGCTATATATAGCTATACACACACACACATACACACACACAGAGTAAAACCTTGGATTGTGAGTAACGTGGTTTGCGAGTATTCCACAAGACGAGCAAACATTTCTAACACATTTTAACTTGGTAAATGAGCGATGTCTTGCAATACAAGTAGTTTGTTTCAGGAACGAATTATGCTCACAAACCAAGGTATTACTGTATATAAAATCTGATTTTAAAATGGGCAAAGGACCTGAACAGATATTTTTCAAATGGTCAACACTTGTTCTCAACCATCACTAATCATCAGGAAAATGCAAAACAAAATCACAATGAGAAATCACCTCATACCTGTTAGAACTGGCTATTATCAAACAGACAAAAGATAGCAAATGTTGGCGAGGATGTGGAGAAAAGGGACCCTTGTGCACTGTTGGTGAGAATGCAAATTGGCGCAGCCACTATGGAAAACAGTATAAAGTTTCCTCAACAAACTAATAATAGAGCCACCTGATGAGCCAGCAACCCTATTTCAGGTATATAGTTAGAGGAAATGGAGTCAGGATCTCAAAGGGATAACTGTGCTCCCATGTTCACTGCAGGATTATTCACAACAGCCAAGATATGGAAACAACCTAAAGTATCCGTCGATGGATGAATGGATAGAGAAAATGTGATATTTATATATACAATGAAATATTATTCAGATATAAGAGAAGAAGTAAATCCTGCCATTTGGGACATGATGAACCTGGGGGACTTATGCCAAGTGAAATAAGCCAGATGTGGCAAGACAGACACTGTGTGATCTCACTTAGATGTGGAATCTAAAAAAGTCAAACTCCCAGAACCAGAGAGTAGGCTAGCAGCTACCAGAGGCTGGGGGGAGGCGGAATGGAGAAATAGATATTGGTCAAAGGGCACAAACTTCCAATTACAACATGAGTAAGTTCTAAGTGATCTAATATACAGCATGGTGATCACAGCTAGTAATAATGAATTGTAAACTTGACATTTACCAAGAGAGTAGATCTTAAGTGTTCTTGCCACTAAATGGTAAGGTAACATGTGTTCATTAACTTGGTTGTGGAAATAATTTCACAACATATACATGTATTCAATGACCACATTGTACAGTTTAAATATATACAACTTTCATTTGTCAATTCTACCTCAATAAAGGTGGGTGGGAAAAAGCCAAAAAAGCTCAAATAATATGACAAAAAAATGGGCAGTAATAATAGAATGTGACAGGGCTGACATGAAGATGAAGCCAAAGGCAGACAGGGTCAGCTGACACGGAGTGGAGGACACTCCAGGCGGGGTGGGGTGGTAGCTAAGCCAAGTCTTACAGGATAAAGGGACGCAAGGGCGGGAGGGGGCACTCTGGGCAGAGATGACATCCTGCGAAAGGTGTGGAGGGCTGTGTGTGTGATGGCCAGACCTACCCCTGGTGTGAGGAGTGATTAAAGGGGGATGAGCCCAGATACGCAGGGGAGCCGGACAGTGAAGGGGCTCTAACCTGTGGGCAGTTTGATGGAGAGAAGCGCTCAGATCGGGGGCGCATTACTGAAAGCGTGCTCTTGCACGTGGTGGGTGGGGAGGCCGTGGATTTGAGCTCTGCCATTTTGCCACAGAGTGGGTATCCATGAGCGCTTACCGAATGGAATGAAGGCGTGAGGGAGCTACTTGTCTGAGTCTGTCTCCCCACCTCTAAAAGGAGGAGGCTGAGCGACTTCTGGTTCATGCAAGATGGTGGCAGGATGGTGAGTTATCATGGCTTGCTGGCTCTGTCCCCTGAACCATCCCCTGGAGATGCCACATATGGGAGATGGTGGCAGATGGGCCTGTCAAGCTTTGAGAGCAGCCGTGGTGGGCCCTGGGCTGTGCCCCACAGTCCTGCACCCTGGGAGGAGCCCGGCCGGGCCTGGACCCCAAGCCTACTGCCCTACATTCTGGGGTCCTCCCCAAGCCTCCCTTCCTCCCACGCTGGCACCCTCAGTGCCAACAGGGATGCTGGTCTTTTGCCTGCTGAAAGCCTGGGGCAGGGGCGCAGCAGGGTGGGGGCAGGGCCGGAGGAGATGGGTGCATACTCCTGTCTGGAATTGGCTGTCGGTGTGGAAGGCAGAGAAAACCGCTGGCAGGCGGCGTTTCAAACCAACAAGGGCGGTGGGAACAGAGAAGGAAGCGAGGCACCAGAAAGCAAGGCTATAAAAATACTATCTCCCTGGCCAGCCGGTGACATGGGACTCTGGGGATGGGAAGCATCCCACAAGTAAACAAAAATACAAGGTCCCCTGCCCGTGTAACAGGATAAGATGGAAAACACATTACATGATGAAACCCGATTTAAAAGGCGCAAGTCCAAACAAATAAATTAACCGAGCATGTTATGAAACAACTACAGAGTACCCACGGCCCGCGCCCCACCCCATCCCCTCTCCAGCTAGAGGTCTTCTTTCTGGCTTCAACTCTAGGGTTTTGGCCGAATTTAAATGGCTTCAGAGTACAGTGCGTGCCTTTGGACCGAACCCGGGGGCTTCATTATGTGCATGGACTCCATCAGCAGGGCAGGGCCCTCTGGCGGAAGTCCCCAGCCCAGCACCCTTCCTCGCTCCCAGATATAGAAATGGGACAACTTTCCCTGATCTGCAGCCACTGCCCCACAGGTCTGCCTGCGGCCAGGCCCTCTGGACATGGGTGCGAGTGTGACCTGCCAGCTGGCGGCTGCTCTATTCCCACGCTGATTTCCTTAGCTCTGCCCCCCACGTTGATCTCTGCCAGATCTTACCTTTTTCTCAAAAAGCTGCCGCATCTCCAACCTCTCGTGCCCTCCGCCCGCCTTTCCCAACCTTCCAAGGAGACACCTAGGAGATCTGCTCTGTCAAGCAATGCTGCCCGCAGCGAGCTCTTCTCACTCTCCTAGAACCAGTGTAAATGCCACCCCTCTGGGAAGAAACCAATGACATCCCCTATACATCCTAATCTGGGGGAGGAAGGCTGCAGGTGGGATTAAGGTTGCTCATTAACTGACCTTACAACGGGGAGATGACGTGGCTCCAGGTGGGACTCAGTGTGATCACAGGACCCCTCCCGACTGTGAGCGTAAGCGAGGGAGGCGGGTGGGGCAGGACTCAGCCCCACGGTGCTGGCTTTGGAGCTGGGGAAGGGGTTGCGAGCCAAGGAATGCATGTGGCCTCTAGAAGCTGGGACCAGCAGGGAGCAGATTCTCTCCCCTGGAACCTCCAGAGGGAGCACTGTGCTGCCCACACCCTGCCCGTAGCCCGTGAGGCCATCTCAGGCTTCTGACCTCCAGAAGTGGAAGGTGGCACATTGTGTTGCTTCAAGCCTCTGAGTTGATGGTGATTTGTTGTAACAGCAATAGGAACCTCCTACCAAAGCCTTCTCCCTGCTCCCCCAGGAAGAGGTATTTTGATTCGGGACATTACATAATGGCTAAAAGAACAAGTCAATAAGCTGGCAGCTTTTAAAGCGTGTCTGGGTAGAGTAAGATCAAGCCCAAACATCACCCTCTGCCCTCATTCTGTCCTTGACCCCACACATGTCCTCAACAGTGGCAGGGCCCGCTCTCTCCCTGTGATCAAAATCTGATTGGAAGACACATAGTATGGAGCCAAAAGGCCGAGGCTGCCACCACGCCCTGCAGGCAGAAACCCACGTGGACTTGGGCCGGGGCCGGGGGTCCCAGAGGGGGCTGCTGGCGTCACATGGTGATGAAACAGACGTGGCCAGAGTGCCCTGCTTGGTGCCCAGCCCCTGTGGCACCGATGTCACCATCTGGAGCCATGTTTGTTCCACCGTCTCCCTGAAGGCAGGGCTGGTAGCTGGCTGATCACGGCTTCCCCGAGCTGGAGCTTACACGCAGCCTCGCAGCTGCCCCAGGTGCCCTCGGTGGCTCCCTGGCACCTTGGGCATGCCTGAAGAACACCTGCTCCTAAGGGCTGCCTGCCTGCCCCAGCCTGTCCTTTGTGTCCCCAGGACGCAGTCCCGGGAGAGGGACCCCACAAAGGTCCATAGAGCGGAGCTCCCCAAGGCAGGGAGGATGCCAGACACAGGTAAAGGCTCTGCTGATGGCCGCTGGAAATGGGGCAGTTTCAGTGCTGTTATGTCTGCTTTATCTGTCCTCACTTCCGCTTAGCTTTCCCCGAGTGTGTTTGTTGCTGAATTGATGAAAAGAGTGTGTGCTCTGTGCTTCCTTCTCGTGGTGATTTCCACACTGTAATGAGGTTCTGTGAAGGGAGCTCTCTCCTTGGAGCCATGCTGGTGCTGGGAATGGACCCCGTGTCCCCAGGAGTCAGTGGTGGGAACTGGAAGTGGAGTTCAGGGGCCTGCAGCCCTGCCTGCGGAGGCCCCGGCCGCTGACATTCCAGGTGGAGGAGGAGGTGGAAGTCCAATGAGTGAGGGGATGGCCAGGCTTCCGGTTGTACCTTAAAGGGAGAACCAGCACCACTCTCTCTCATGGCAACGTGAGCCACTTCGTGTCTGGAGCTGGAGACGGCAGGAGACACCTCCGAATGGCTGGGATCCGCCCTCTGAAGACCACAGTAAGAGCCAAGTCGGTCCATCATCTCCAAAACTGAAGCATGGCTTGTTGCCGCCCCTTCCCCAGGCCCCTCGAGTCGCCACAGTCACCAGCAGCAGCTCTGAAGCTGATGACCACCCCCCGTAGCAGGGGGGAGAGGGCCCGCGGCCTCCCTGCCTCCCCGCTCCCTGCGGAGGCTGGACCCCTGGATCGTTCACTTCACACCCAAGCAGCAGAGCGAGAATCAGAGTGACATCACTCCCTCCCTGGTGTCCCCACCCCCAGCCCCTGAAATGGACAGATCCTTAAAGGAATCTCCTGGGAGATCAGACGGACAGAGCAAGTGAAGGCTGGGATGCAGGAATTCCTCCCAAGGAGCAAAGGAACTTTCTGGCACTGGTGATTCTCAAGGGCAACCAGCGTGGGCAGCCAGCAGGATGACGCAACAGATCCCTGACAAGGGTGTGGACGGCCTGTGCGGACCAGTGGTCAGAGCAGCCTGCCCGCCCAGGACGCCTTCTGCGAGGAGGGGAGGCATCGTGAGCGAGAGTCGAAAGGGACCCCTAAATGCTGCAAGCATGACAGGCGGCTTTTATCCAGAAACTTCTACAGGAGCCAGCACATAGCGGGTCTGACAGTGAAGACTGGAGAGAGGGCCCCCGGCCAACTGCAGGCGAAATACAACATGAACCCACCCTGAGTCTTGTTTTCCATTTACCTGGACAATTCCCAGGCGGAAAATTGCACAACCAAAGTGTATCGACAGACCGTGAACCAGATTCCATGACACAAATACAGATAGACAACATGGTTGCACTTTGCCCCCCCCCTCTGTTACACCTAAGCTCATCTCAGAGAGAAGAGATAACCTGGCCGCTGCGCTTGGTGTTTACCAAGCTATTTTTGGTAAACAGGGGACTCAGCCGACTTTTTTCTTTCCAAGCCGGCAGCCTCAATATGTTTCTAGTATAACAGATAAAAGCATTTTCTTGAAACCTCCAGGAAATTAATGGCTCCTTTTTTCTGGCCCACCGATGTGAGGGCACTCAATTACCTTACGCTGATTAAAGACAAGCATCCCTGCCTCTGGGCAAAGAGCAAAGAAAAGAAGACATGAGCCCCCATTAGCAAAAGGGGATAGTGATGTAAGTGATGCAGACAAGTTGGGTCTGATTTTCTACTTGAGGGTGGTTTCCAGATGCCACAGAATGGGATGTGAGGGCACTGAGACCACATCTGCCACGAGGCTGCCTTCGGAGAGTTCTTACCAGGAGATAAAAAGCGATAGTGATTTACTAAGGACCCACTAAGCACTGGACCCTTTTGTCTAATTTCCCAACCTAAATGTGCCCTGCAAGATAGGAGGCGCAGACACCCTTTTGCAGCTGCGAGAACAGACTGGGAGAGCGAGCTTTCGTCCCAGCGGTGTGGGTGCAATGAGTTAGCACACTGGGTCTGCACCGTGTGGAGCGGCACCGGCTCAGGCGGAGCTCAGCACCGCCCCCCCCAGGCAGTGACTGATGTATCGGGTCACCAGAGGTCCACAGAGGTAGGGGTAACTTCTAGGGGTGAGGGTGTCTAGGGGGTCATTATCCACTTATCTCCTGCCCATAGCACTGGTGTACACACACTCACACGCGCTCATACATGCAGCACACATGCAAATTCACACACATGCACATGCAACACACACATTCACACACGCACACACACAACCATGCACACAGCTGGAAATGTCATGGGTAATCCCACCCCCTACCCTGAGAAAAGAGGAGGGAGGCCGGATGGTATCAATGGAAAGCAGGCCAGGCTTGGGGACAGAGGCTGACTTCAAAGCCGGGCTCTGCCTCTCAGCAGCTTTGCCACATGGAATCAATCTCCCTGCCCCTCCCTGTACAGCAAAGGGCTGGCCGGGATAATTTCGAAGGTCCCTTCGGTTTTACATCCTATGATTCTATTAACACTGCCAGTGGATTTTAAATGCTAAATGGAGTCCGTGAAGGCTGAATATTTCTGGAGATTTAAAATGCCTCTCTACTAATTGGAACTAATTCTCCCAACTGCGCATTAAAAGCCCCAGGCTGATTTTTCTATTTGATGGGCCCTGACAAAGTGGCACCCTGACAGAGCGGCCGAGTCTGCGCTCTCCCACAAGCTCTCTGCTAATTTGCACTAATGCATCTTTGCTTCCCCCGCAAGCCCCGGCCGCGGCCATCCCCACATCCAAGGCCACTTAAATCTCTTAATGCATTGCCACCCCTCTCCCTCTCCTCTCTAGCTCCTTAGAGCTTGGCAGACTAATGGCTGTAATCACGACGGTGAACGTTTAACAGTGCTGGGCGCTGCTCTCCACAGAACGCGGTCCTTCCTCAGGAGAAGGACATTTAAATCCTCCTGCCTAGGTGAGCAGGATGGAGCACAGCGTCGCCCCCATGCTGGGTGTCTGCAGAAGGGGCTGTCAGGAGCGGGAGGTAGCCGCAAGACCATCAGGGAGAAACTGGTAAAGGCGCAGAGAAGTCGGGAAACCTTCAGGGGCTTCTGAGTACCCTGCCCCGGCCCGCGGAGCCACAGAGCCTCTGAAAGCGGTACCTGCCACCCCAACAGTGTTGAGCTCAGAGCTGTTTCAATACATGAAAAGCAAATTTCCATGAAACAGTATTTACCCTCACTTTAGGAAATGCATTCTTTTCTTTAAATTATACTAAAATATACATAACATAAAATTACTACCTTACCCGCTTTTAAGTTGCTCCGTTCAATGCCATTAAGTAGAGCCACCATCGCCTCTGTCCCTTTCCAGAACTGTCTCATCATCCCCAGTGAGAAGCTCTGCACCCGTTACACACTGACTCGCCACCCATGCCCCGAGCCCCTGGAGCTGTGAAGCCCTCCTGTGTTTTCTGATCCATCCTGGTCTATTGCATGAAACAAATGCTAGTTAAGACGCAGTCGCAATCTATACTTTGAAACACTGTACACCCCTCATTCCAGTTGGGGAAACTGAGGCACGGAGCGGGGACGCACCCTATCCCAATTGAACAGAGAGCGAGAGACCATTAGGGCGGGGAGGCAAGTCGCCAAATGCCCGTCCCAATGATCTTTTGACTTCCGCTGCTCTTCTGCATGGTCAAAACCGGTCTGTCTGTTCCTTTCTTTCATAGGAAATTAAGAAGATATACAAGAATGAAGAGAATGACATACAGACACTTATGTGACCACCCTCTAGAATTGATGAGTGTCAATAATTTGTTACAACCGCTTTGCATTTTAATAAAACAAATGGTACGTTAGACAGTGCTGCCTTCCTGTCCCCACTGCTGGGGTATCCTCTCCCCATGGGTAGCCCGAATTGCATCCTTCTGAATTCGGTGTGTGTTTTTCCAGTCTACTGTTCTCATGTTTACACCTACAGAAAAAGAGACCCATGAATAATTCATAATGTGGTCTGCAGTGTGTTTTTAAACATTTTCATAAATATATTACACAGTAAGCTTGCTTTTTCACTCAACATTATGTTTTTGAGATGTAATTGTGTTGCTATGAGTGTGTGTATGTGTGTGTGTGTGTGTGTGTGTGTGTGTGTGTACTTAGGTTGTTTCCAATTTATTTTTCTATTACAAACAATGCTGTAATTATGCACGAGTCTCTCTAGGTAATAGATCTAGAATTGGAATTGCTGAGTCTTTGCGAACATGCATTTCCAATTCTAATTTTGCTTTGGATACTGACAAATTGCTTTCCAAAGTGGGTGAATTAATTTACACTCCTACCAGCACTGT